GAGTCAAAGGTGAGTTTTTGCTGCAGGTTTCACAAAGAGGTGTCTGAACTGAAGTAAACTGGAGGCTACTGCTTGCCCCAGAAACATCATGTCAAGTCAGAATAGAAACACTACACTGCGTATTTTCAAGCAGTGTTGATTTTTTAGTAAGGACTCCAAGTAATCCTTTCAGAAAAAATACCCCAGATCATTTTCAGCAGTTGTGTCACAATGTTCTTTGATTACAACCTAGGTACAAGAAGGCAAACACTTAACTTCTCAGAGTCGGAGGCAGTATATTAAAATGCTGCTGAATCTTGTTGTTACCAATCTCTGTTCCTCACGACATGAACCTTTGCTCCTACACAAACAGCTGATCTGCTAGTGAATCTCATTCTGAAAGGCAATTCTCAGCCTAGTATGTTACAGTCAAAATAAAGTTATTCAGACTAGGTTTAATGCAGGGGGATGAAAAACCAAGTCTTTTGATTGTTCGGCTACTCTCTTTCAACAAAATGCTCTTGACACCAACGCTCCTGCTCCTCTGCTGCACTTCAGTCACCCCGTTCTACCTGCTGGAGTCCTTTAAGTACCTGTTCCCATTGCTTGCACACTCCCTTCTCGCCCACAGTGTGCCAAGTTATTCAGGCATGTTAGTGTGACAGACAAGTGAGTGGGGAAAAAAGAAACAAAAAGAAGAAATGCATTTTTTGTGCAATAACTTCCTTCACAGTCCTCCTTCTGACAACTGACATACTAGTACTCCCTATCCAAAGCGTAGCTTTAAAGTACTACTAGGTATACCTTGCTCTTATTCTGCCACATATATGGACAGATGATTTATTTCAACATAGATTTTTTTCATGACATGGAAATTGTTGACTGGATAATTCCCAAATTATCAGTGTGACCCCTTGAGTGTTCCAATACCTTTTACTACTGATGTAGTTTTTGATGTCTTTAAAAACACAAATAAAAAAGTCCTTCAAATTCCACACTATAATATCACCCAATCATTCTATTGTGAGTTTGAGTTGTATCTTTGCTCTGCTAGCAACAGTCACGCACGTCTGCTCTCACAGCATGCTCCCTGCAGGAGGAAAATTGCATTAGAAAATTTTCAGAATTCAATGCCTTCTTGCCTCATAAACCTCACCTCTGCTATGTTGATTAAACAACTACCACCTAGAACAGCTGAACTGCTTGATTTACCACTAATGATTGAGAATCATAACACATTCATCTGTGCTGAAGTACCTTAAGTGTATAGTCCACTAACTTCTCTCAGCAGTGACAGTCACATTTAGCTTTTTTACGTAGTTCAGTTCTGATCTACTAAGGACCTTAAGCCACACAAAAACATGTAGCTATTTAAAAGGAGTGCATTTTGTAAACACATTTGGCTAAATCAAACCATGGCAACAACAGTAACTGGGTTCTCATATATGCTCAAATTCTCTAAAATATGAAAAAATTCCGTATTTTTCTCATTTGGGTTACTCCAATCTTAAAACTGAATTTTTGTATTTTGTCTCTGCTGCCAAAATAAACCTAACAGCAATGCTCAGCAAACAAGTATAAAGTACTGGAAGAAACCTCTAACAGTCTCACTAGTGTAATTTTTTCTAACCACTGTATGAATTGAGTAATATACTTAAAACTGCAAAACTCAGCCAAAGAAGATGCAACAATTCCACGGGCAATGTTAATAACTGACTGCTAAAGACCAGCAAGTGTTACAAGTCAGAAAACCACAGGGGTGAGTAAAGGATGAGGAAGAAGCTCAGCTGTCACTGACCAACCACTTCAATCCATCAGCATCGGGGTCACAACCCACCCAGCACTGCACTGGCCAGTTTGCTGAGTCCTCCCCAGAAAAATTTCAGTGTTCTGCACTAGAAACAGAAGTGCTGCCTGACAGGACTTGGAGGAAAGGTGTGAGAAGTATTCTACGGACACACACACTGTTAAGATACGTACAATACAACATTTGATTCAGCAACTAAATTAGAAATAGGAAAATGTGATGTGTGCCCTACAGATAAAGCAGCCAAAAAGTAGGAAAAGCAACCCCACACTTTACCTGCATAAAGCACTCACAGTGAGCACAAACAGAAGCAGCAGATTCTGACTGGAACATTCAAACCAAAGGGTAGAGGTCAAATAGTTCCCCAGGAACTCTCCACTACTGCCAGCCATTGAGGGCAGAGGACTACCGCTAACAGCTGAGCTATAGTTCAGCCAGGAATTTTATTCAATCTCCTTGTGGGACTACAACATACCCCTGCAGCAAAAGAGATTGAGCTGAAAAAAGCGTTGTTGGTTTTTGTGGTTTTTTTGTTGTTTTGTTTTTCAGAACTATTACTGCATTAAAAAATACACACTAAGAACAGAACTATTAAAACAGTGGTACATTTATGCTGGCATAAAGCTGCCAGCAACACATTGACAAGAAGCAAGAACTCATTTAGGCAAGGACTACTGCACATACTATTCAGTCATTTGGACCAAGCTATTTTTATAAGCAAAAAGTACAGCTTTACCTCTTTTTAGGAAGAGAGAGGGATGGCACAGCTAGCAAACAGAAAAAGATCAAGGGCTGTTTGCTTTACTAGCATAAAAATAAACCCCTCAAACTATTTTCCAATTTTACAAAGATACTTTTAGAAGATTGTTTGAACCGAGTGTCTCAGGACAACTTTTTTTTCGTTTTGTGCAACAGCTACAAACAAATATGTTTAAACACTGCATACCTATAGTACTATAGGTTCACAGTCACCTCTGGGAGAATGAGTAACAGAAGCAGACTATCCAAAAAACATCTCAGTGTACAGCACTGCTTCCTCCCTTCTTTTAAATTTAAATATGTAAAATGCTACAGAAAATACACTGGTCAAACTTCTTATTAAAAAAAAAAGAAAGTCCATCATTCACAAAAAAAAAAAGTGTATGGCAACACTATTGAATATACTCTTTGATCTCTTATTGTAATATAAGCTGCACTGAATTTTTCTGTTTCTCTAAGAAGAGAGGTATTCAGGCAACATGTGAAAACTCACGTTTTCTGGAATAAGTATTTAAGCCTAACATTCATCTGTTCTAATCCTTCAATTATTTACTAACTTTCTGTAATCCACCCTGTCTGAAGCTCAGGAAGTCTTACATTTACTCACAATGAAGTGCCATGAAACACATCAATGAAGCAAGAGTATCACAGAGAATCTATCCATTTAACCCATATAAATTTAAAAAAAACTACATAGGAATACAGAAATTAAGTGACTATTTAGTATGGAAGCATCCATGGTAACATAGATTCTGAAGTAAGATTTATAGCATCAAGGCCGCCCAGTGTGATCATTTTCACTATTCATACCCAGAACTCTGTGCCAACATTTGTAGCAGTTGTCACAATGTGAATACCTTCTATTGCAGTAAGATTCATTTTACGTTGCTCATTTTAAGTGAAAGCAACAAATGAAGGTATGTGGTAAAGCAGGTAAAGAAAATATCCAGTTTGAAGTCTGATCACACATCAAACAGGAATCAAGTACATGCCAGAACTGGGTAATAATACGGGTTTTCTTTAAGTGTATTTTAAAAATAGTAATGAAAATAGAAAATATATGCTAAAGGAGAGAACACTTGACATGGATGTTTTGCAAGGTTGTGTTTAAAAGTGCATCAAACTGCAATCAAAACATAGAGGCTGAACTGAAGCAGGTAATTACGTTATTTAGTACAAGAACCATGCCTGAACTAGTATACCTTACTTCTTGCTTTACTGCGTTGAACAGAAAAAGGCTTGCTGAAAATCTTCTATTCCTCTGTAGTTTACAGTTAACATTCATGTACCAGGTCATGTAAAAATTGTACAAAGTCTCAAGAAAAACAGGATTTATTTACATGCCCGTTACATTGCAGTATTTGCCAGTGTATGGTACTGTCTGGATATTTTGGGCGGCCAAGTGCACTTCTCTCTGTGTAGAAGATGGAATTCTTTAATAAAGAAAACTGGAAGGCAGGAAAGCAAACACAGAGTATAAGACCAATGTCAGACCAGAGTCTTTTTGGTCTTTTTTACCACTGCGTTATTCTTCTGTAGCAAGACAGACTTGCAAATATCAATGGGGCATCAAGTCACCTTTCAAAGAAAAATTCAGTGTCATACTAATTAAGCAGTATTTTAAATTAAACAGACTTTTATAAAAAATTACTTTTTCCCCTCCCGAAGCCCCCAAACAGGATTCTCTTATACAATGTTACTAAGAACTTGACTATACCAAAGTATCACACTATCACTAATAACATACATCTCCATTCTCACAATCTTCTTGAGCTCTTCTTCCCTAATAATGAAGTAAATCCAATTAAAATACAGTCACAAACAACACACAGTAAAGTCCTGATCTTCGCTTGATGACTTGAAATGTTCCTGGTATGTATTATACAGAAATACAAACTTTCAGCAGCTTTAGAACTGAAGACCCAGTATATCACAAGACACAGATCAGATCAGAACAGAAGAGTAGCTGTTACAAACACATAGAAAACTATGTTGCTTTCTAGAAGAACTGTGACTTTCATTTACTGAAAAGTTTGACACTGGCATTCCAAACAGTAACAGCCGTTCATAAAACATAATGGTCCAAAATGACTTTCAAATGGTGTAACTACATCTATGTTAAGAACTCAAATAATGGCAAGGATCCAAAACAACATGAGGGAGGACAAAAATTAACACACATCCTACTAAAATAAGTCTTTCAAATTATCATTTGAAGTTGTAATTTACAGAATAAGCCAGTAAACAGCAAATATTACGGTGTCAATTTGAAGTTGTGTAAGATACAGCAAACACAGTTTAAGGGGAAATAAATACATCCAAACAGTAACCGGGTTCTAAGCACACACAATCAACCGGAAAAATATCTTTAAATTCTAGAACTAACATACTTTTAACAAGGAACGCAAATGCAATGCATCATCTTAAATACTCGAAGTAATTTCTTTAGGCATACCTTTTCTCTCTGTTTTCTGTGCAGGGATGGAAGATGTGGATGTAGGCAGTTTTGATAAAGTAGATGCTCCATTAGCATCAAAGGATTTCTTTGGCTGGTGATCAGATTGTAGAGAAAATGGACTAGGAGGAACAGTGCTTGGGGTAGCCGTTGGATGAACCACTGGTTTGATGGGATGCTGTACTGGAGTAGAACTACTGTGAGTCTCTGCTCTTGGCAGTCTGTAGTCTCTGTCATTGTGCCTGCTTGTTTGAGATAAAATATTCTGTGGGAGCATACTACTGGCGTCACTGGAATGCTTGTCTTCCACTTTTTTCAGGATTCCCCAAGTAACATTGCAATAAGAAAAAAAGATTAAATTAGAAACTCATTTAAGATTGCAGTGACTTTGATTAATACAGCTGCACATCAACAACTAGAGCTGATTGAACTTCTTATGATTAAAAAAAGCCTCAAGTAGATCAGCATCAAAAAAAGTCAAAATTTAATTTTACTCACTGACAAAATGCATTTTCTCTGACCTTTGCTTGATTTAGAGTTCCGGTTAAGCACTGTGTTTTGATGAAAGGCTGCTTTATAACAAGTGTAACAGTCAAGTTAACTTTTGAAGTCTCCTAAAAAAATCTAAATCAAAATCTATTATTTCCATCTTATATTTAGTGTGAAGAGATAATTTGTTTTTCTTTTGTTCACTGAAAATCCTGAACATTAAGTATAATTTAATAGTTTCAAACTCTAGCCTTCAAAGAATTCCACTTCAAGTCACTTGAGTACTACTACAAAGAATTTACTTTCAGTTGAGTTAATTAAAGAAGACTATATATTAAATGAATGACTAATTTGCATTTGTCACACGATCACAGATTTTAAAATATGCTACACAGGGAACATACCAAGCCAATATAGAGCAATTTTTTTATATTGATTCCTAGATCTTCACCTGTCACAAAACCAGTAGTTACTGCAATATGCATGTCTGCTATTTTTTCACAGCATGCAGTATGTTTTAGCATATGCAATATGTTTCAGCATACACAGAAAAGCCACCCTTTATACCACTCTGCCTTGACAAGTCCCAAGCAAGGTGGTGGTGGGAGATTAATACTTTGGCTGCTACTTTTAAACCACCCTGAGTATTATACTGCAAATTCTACAAAATTTGCAGTATACAATCTACAAACTACATCAGCATACAGAAAGAATCTCACAGTACAACCATTCCCCCCTCCAAAAAAAAAAAAAAAAAAGACAAAGATTAAAGCTAGGTATCAGGGAAAAAAATTCCAAGTAACAGAAATTCATAGTCCAGGAAAGGCTTTGCTAACGGTACTGGCATGGTAAAAATATGCTTCCAAAAATGTATATGATCTATTAAATTAGCTTATTATGTTCAGATGTGAAATCAAGGTTTTAGAAGAGACCTCCGCATCTCCATTTTAAAGCTCAGAATATGACATTGACAGGTCTCAATGATCACGACAGACCAACTATATCATAAACTGTGCAAGATGTTTCAGTAACTACCTATAAAAATAATTAAATTGGGCATTAAAAGCTGCAAAAAGGAGTACCACCATGAAAAGCATTAAGCAAGCGCTGTACTAGTAAAGGCTCAAAGTTATTTTAGAAACATTTGGGAGAGCTGTCTGTGCTATCTGCTTTGGCCTTTTTATATAAAAAGGTGAGAGAAACAGCTAAGGAAAGGGGGGTTAAATTTATTTTTTTAAGTTTACAAAAGAAAACAGTAATGCAGACAAGGCAAGAATATATTACTGTAAAAAAACCACATACTTCCACTGGCAAACCCACTGGCAGCTGTCGCCTGCATCACCTCTCTTCTGTAATCCCTATCTTTTGGAAAGCTGTTAACTGACATTTTGCTTGCTTCTTTTTGTCTCTGCTCTCTGAAGAGAAGAAAACACAAGTCAGAACTTACATCATCCAATAATGTAACACTTTCTATGGGTGAAGTTACACAAGATGAATTAAACTATCCTAAGAGCTTGCTGTTACAGATGAGGGAGGCAAACTCCAGCCATTGCTTCCTTATGCCAGTGCTTGCCAAAGCCCCCAGTATACCAGTTCAGCTCACTAACATTACACCACCCCCTCCGCTCCCCCTGACTCCAAGCCAAAAGAAAACCAAAAAACCCCACCCCACCAAAAAACAAACCAACCATACTTCCCCCTCCTGCTCTGGATCATCAAGGGATAAAATAGGTGCCAGAGGTCATGGTAAGGGTAGAACACAGTAGACTTGGACCACAATCTTTTATAGCAGTAATCTATTAGATAAGCTCAGCCGCTCTTAAAAGAGCTTTAAGAATATTTGTCCTTTATACAATGAAAACAGACACACACGTACCTTTCCAGCCACTCTTTTGGTTTTTCCCATTGTGAAACTTCTGTTCGGCAGTTGTAGTAGTATTTTTTGCCTGAAGAGCTGATGTGTTCAGACCAGTCGTCCGCAGAATCGTAAGCCTTTAAAATACAAACAGCGTTGGACAAAGGACTGCTAGAGTTGTTATACACAAATTTAAACGCTTCTACCATTTTTAAAACTACATGTTGTCCTCATATGGACCTGTATCACGGCTTTCCATTTATACCATCTCTAAATGCCTGTTTCATTTTGATAGTTTAAAATTGTGACCACTACGCTCCAGTTGCATTCTGTAAGTTTCCCCCTGTTTTATTCCCATCAACCCTGAACCAAAATCTAATAGTATGTTTAGTGGGATACAGTAATATCAGCATTGATAACATTCATTTTCTGCACCTTGAAACTTCCTCAAAAATCATTAATTATATTTTCAAAATTTTTCTGTGCTTCACAAATTTATCTTCTGTTTTCACTGCAATTTTTAACAAACACCACCCTAACTACTGAAACTTGGATAATTAAAGTGACTGAAATTCACAACATGTAATGCACTTTAAAGAAGTAAAATCACACTGTCTTCTCTAGCTTTATGAACAAAGTTAATAAAAACTATTTCTCTACATCTGCTTCATTTAAATAATAATTTTAAAATTCAAAACAGGTACCTCAAAGCCCTAATGATTAACACTTACAATAGTTTTACAACATGTAACAACTGCAGCTTGGGTTTACAGAGCATTTATAAAATAAAGACTCATGCTGGAAAACTCAATGAAGCAGGCTATGTACACACTGCCTGTTTTAGTCAAAAAAAAAAAAATAGTATGTATGAATGGGGTGACACAGGGATGAACATCAATCACAAATACTCACTGCATCAGAAGTTTTGCTTGGATTATTGCTGGGATTAGAAGAATGTGAATTTGAACTATGAAGAGCACTGTGGTTATGTGAATTTTCTTGTGGAGAGTAACTGGTCCCTAAAGGAAAAAAGAAAGACTGTTCACCATGTATGTTTTCAAAGAACCAACCATCTGCACTCTAAGGAGGTGGAAGGGGAAAGGAGAGGGGAGGGGAGAAGGCAAGTTGTCTGCAGCCTGGACCACAGCATAGTTCAGATGCAGAAATATTTCGGGAGACCATATGCATATTTCTTTCTCACACAGCATAAAGCTCACTTTATTCTGCCTTTCTAGTTACCAATAATGCAGTATGTCCCTTCATTAGTCTTACTCTCAAACTTCATTCCACTACAAACAAGTAGCCTTTGTATTTTTTGATGGTTGGAGGAGTCCTAGCATGTCAATTCAGAAATTAAGAACCATTTGCTCCTCAACATTAAGTCAGAAAGTTTAAACGGGTTTAATCAACAGCCTACACAGTTAGATACACAAAATCAGGTTTTAAGTTCACTGGAGCAATGCTGTTTTCTTAACCCTTTTAAGATTACCTGTAACTGGTTCTAAGTAACTACTTCTGATATGCATATAGATTAAATTAATTTCCCTGCACCTCAGTCTCTGCAATATAGATATTGACGTCTAGCATACCAAAAGCAGCATTTCTCAAACTACCACCTGCTTCTGGCCGCCCTAACAACTGCTTCTCAAGGTAACCTGGTTTTCTTTCGCACCCTGAAAACACTTGAACACAAAAGAACAGCTGGGAAATGAGAACGCAGATCATTCTCAACACCTTTCATACCTGTATTTTTGCCTAAGCTCAAGTCACCTATTACGCCTGAACAGTTCTAATTACAATTAAACAAGGCCATCCTTCACAACCTCATTTTAAATGTCCTGCTCTTAAGGCCTCCCATTCCTCAAAAATTTCTAAGCAAGTAAAACCTCTTCCATTCTTCTTTATCTGATTTACTCTTCTTAAGTTTTAAATGTTCACATAAATCACACCAAACTAAGAAAAACAATTTTCTTACACATTTCAGGAAAAAACCTAGATACTCCAAATACAACACTCTCCCTGCCTTTATTTTTTCCTCTGCCTAATGAGAAGTTTCTAAACACCCAGGGATACTACATTAGGTACCACTAGCTTCACATACTGTATAGCGATCTAAATATGTGCTTTGCAAATGGCAAAACCTGTACCTTACAGGTAATGACAATAAAGAACTGTCCACTTATAGTGGACTGATAGGTGGGAGTGAATGGAGCCATTAAGACAAATATTTTTTTCAAGTCTTCTGAGAGTCACACGCTAAGATGACTAAATCATGCTGCAAAATAGGAGAGATTACAATGCAAATTCTATCTTCTGAGCCTTCTGACTACACAAGCGTTGACAAAATTACTATTTCAAACTTCTTCCTCCACGCCTCTAACCCTGCAGGTTAGAAAAACAGTCCATCACAAAAGCAAAGAGGTACACCATGACTAATCTGTTTAGTACCCTACAAAGGTTAAAGACTGATCTCCACATGCATGAATTATTGTAACCTGAACCATCAGTAGCTCTGAACCTTCTCCTACACTATTTTGGCTAAAACCATCTGTCATTCTCTTTAAA